GAATAAAATATAAAACAAATAATTTGAATGATGAAAATTATGCAAAATTGAAATCCTACAGGATAACTGTGACCTTGTGATGAACTTTGGACGGTGATGAGGTGTAAGTGAAGTACTATAGAATTTTACCTATAAATTTTTTGTAGATACTTCCGAAATGAAATTATAGAAAAGTTAGGTGATTTTTCAAGATTTAATTTTCATGAAATTTTAATATACTTGCCATTAAGCAGTTCGTATAGAGCCGACGATCTAAACAATCAAAGTAGAACGCACCTTCAAAGGATGTCGAGAAATGCGGTTTCAATACTGGAAATCTTTGTGATAGCCTTAAAATATATTTTCATCTTTAATTATAAAATTTAAAACTTCAAAAATATTGTAGATTGAGCATATCTATGAAAAATTGAAAATATTAAAAATTGACAGTCCAAAAATGTGTTACAAGTATTTTTCTATCTAATTATAAAAATTTAAATTTTAAAAATGGTTAAAATCAAGTAGATCTATTAACATATGAAAATCTTGAAAATGGACGGTGCAGATAATATGTTGTAAAATGCACTATTTCGGAGACTTAAAATCTTTTTAATTTTCATGGTCGTACATCTCGATGTCGAGATGATCAATCAAAGGTTTTTAACATTAAAACTACATTTTCCGATGGATTTTTGAGATGCATCCGTAGTTTTACATATAAGGTTGCAACCTTATATAAACTTTTTCCAAACATGAAATCAACCTTTTTCAATGTCCATGCATCGTGATGTCCAGTTGATCAACTTGAGGATATTTGAGCATCAAAACAACCTCTTCTAGTGAAAATTTTGAGGTGGGCTTTAATTTGATTGTTTAAAGCCTCGACTCTATAAAAACTTTTTTTCTTTTAGTAATATCCAATATATTAAAAATCCGCTATCCCAAAATCCATGTACCCAAACCGGACTTAAAGGAATTTAGAGGATTCCCCAATATATTTGAATATGGGCAAATGATCTTGGGAAAATTTCTAAAACCCCCACAAGATGGACTTTTTACCCACTTTACACCCCACCCAACTTTTCTTAGAACCTCCCCCCAAAAATTGTTTTCTAGCTAATACACCTTTACACAAAAAGTTCACTTATTTTGGACCAAACTACCCTTCCCTTTATTTTTGTTAGAGAGGGCGGTCTGGCATTTTGACCAAGCGGTCCGACCATTTTTTTTTGCTGGAATGGGCGGTTCGGCGTTTCATGGTGGCGGTCCAGCATTTCATGGTGGCGGTCCGGCGATAATTTTTTGTTGGAATGGGCGGTCCGGCATTTGGAAGTTACGGTCTGGCATTTTGAAGTTGCAGTCCTCCATTTTGAAGGGGTAGTCTAGTATTTTGATATGGCAGTTCGAAATTTTGTAGGGGCAGTCCGGTGTTTTGAAGTACACCAGACTGAGTAGTACGGGGTTGTACAAATGCGGTCCGGCGTTTCTTTTTATTCGGATCTGAAAATGATTTGTCATGTGAAGGGAGGGTATTTTCGTCAGAAAAGATGTAACTTTTTGAGTTGGAGGTATTAGTTATAAAAGGTGATTTTTGAGAAAAATAAGTAAGTAATGTTTACGGTGGGGATAGAGTGTCTAAAAAGTATATTTTTGAGGGTTTTTAGCAATTTTCCCAATGATCTTTGCTGTCGTGGGAATCCACTGTCTATACGCTTTCTCCATGATAAACACAAATTGGGAATATTGCTAGGACAAGGACTTTTGGGCTTGTAAACTCTTGAGCCTAGCAATTAATCTTAAAATAAATAAAATTCAATTGTTTTCTATTAATAAAAATTGTCAAAATATTAATAAAGGACGGCCCAATTTTGGGAAATTATAAAATATCCATGTTGCTTCAAAACTGAAAAAACCTAATGTTTTCAAAAACCTCATTCATACCAAATTTTTTACTGTTAATATTTTTTTTGCATAAAATAGGAAGGTCATTACGGGGTCAAATAGGTCCATAATACTCATAAATCCACTTGTTAAATGTGTAGTATCTTGAAGTTTTGAACTCATGGGAGCCATCATGGTTCTACGAGAACCAAGATGCCTTTTAACTCATAGGAACCATCACGGTTCTAAGAGAGAATCATGATAGTCTTCTAACTTATTGGAATAATAAGAGTCTTAATAGAGCTATGATGGCCCTTGGATGAAGCTTTAAACCACATAAAAAACCATTATTGATATCAAACTATTAACTCTAATACTATTTATTTTTGCATCTACCCTCTAAAGCAAAAAGGCTAACTTTTTTTTAGGGAAATTTTCACAAATATACGTTAATTTTCATTTATTTAAAAAAAAAACCTTTAACTTTCATAAACCTCGCCCACACCCTTTTTTTTCAATTTTGACGTTTTGTAACCAAAATAACATTCACGCTAATCGTATTATCGTCAAGCACAGTTATGATACTTAAAGTATCATAAAAACTAAAATGTTATACGGCATTTTAAGTACCTTAAAAACTAACTCATGTTATACGGCATTTTAAGTACCATAAAAATTAATCGATCTAATACGGTATTTTAAGTAATGTAAAAACTAACCTAGGTTATATGGCACTCGAAATGCTGTAAACCATTTTCAACTGTTTATATTTATCTCCTTCATCTGTTTATATTTATCTCTTTCATCTCTCTATTTCTTTTTATTATGTTTATCTTTTTTTTCTCTCTCTATTTCTTTTTAATATTTATCTCTCTTTTTTCGCTCTAATTCTTTTTTATTTATTTTTTCTCTCTCTAACTCCCTTTTCTCTCCAAGGAGATTTGTATAACAACCCGTGTGTACCTTACCATTCCTTATAAAAACTCCCTTCAATGCCATCACTTATGGAAATTAGACGAAGTCAAATTTGTATCTTGTTGGAATCGTGTTTGTTGAGTTGATGAAAAAAGTAGAACGAGAAAGAGAGTTAGTGAGAGAAAAGATTTAGACGGAGAAATAAAAAACAAAAAAAAAATATTAGAGAGAGAAATAAGATTAAAATATTAAAAAGAATTAGAGAGAGAAAAAAGAGATAAATATGAACAGGAAAAAAGAGTTTACGGCATTTTGAGTGCCATATAACATGGGTTAGTTTTAACGGTTCTTACAATGCCATATAATATGGGTTAGTTTTTATGGTACTTAAAATGCCGTATAACATGGGTTAGTTTTTACAATACTTAAAATGTCGTATAACATGGGTTAGTTTGTACGATACTTAAAATGTCGTATAACATGGATTAAGTTTTACAATACTTAATATGTCGTATAACATGTGTTAGTTTTTACTGTCCTAAAAATGCTGTATAACATAGGTTAATTTTTACGGTCCTAAAACTGTTGTATAACATGGGTTAATTCTTATCGAATTAACGTACCTTTCACGGTACTATGACTACCGTGAAGGTTATTTTAATAAAAAAAACACTCAAAATTGAAGAAAAAGAAAGTGTGAGAGAGGTTTATGAAAGTTGAGGGTTTTTTAGTAAATAGACAAAAATTGATGTATATTTGTGATAATTTCTTTTTTTTTATTATCAAACTACCCTTATTTTAACCCACATGTCCCACTTTCTCTTTCTAAGACGTTATTAGCACAACTTAAATAAAGAACTTGGCATGGCACAAAATGTGCCGTATTGGCATAATTTCAATATAAGCGGTCCGCCGCATTTTGTGTTGGACCGGCAGATTTGAATATGAAAAGTCAATCCCCCACATTTTATATCGGATAGAAACAAGTTGGTCCCCTACATTTTTGTGTCAAATCAAAGCATGTTGGACATCGTGTTTTGAAAACATGGGTCAAAATGGGATGGGGGTATATGGTCTAAAATTTTTTTTTTTTTCTTGGGAAGATGAGGGAAATAAATAAACAATATTAAGGTTAATAATGTGACATCCGAAGTTTTAGGGGAGGAGTTAGAGGTCATAAATCGGCGGTACCTATAATTTTTTTAAAAATCTAAATAAAAAAATAAAAATTTTTCATGTAGAACCTTAGTTCCTCGTATTATTTCATGGTATACCCTCCTTCCATTTTTCTTTTAAGCGGCATAAGAAAACCCTTAAAGATTTCATCATGCCCCATCATTTTTTATCTCCTTCTTTTATTGATTTTGATCATAAAAATTGGCCTGAATAAATCTTTTTATACCATTTCAACCCAAAAACCTTTTTAATGGGTTGAAAGGGAAAAAGAAGGTTAAATTTTTTTTGGCATGAAATGATATAAAAGATTTATTGGGACTAATTTTTATAGTCAAAATCAATAAAAAATGAAAAAAAAAGATAACGGGTGCTGTGATCGTTAGGGATTTTCTTATACCATTTGAAAGAAAAATAGAAAAAGGGTTTACATAACATTAAAAGAAGAATTCGGGTTTTATACAAAACTTTCCCGAAATAACTTTATTCTAAATAGCTCTTTGGACCAGGGGGAACAAGTGATCATCATCATCCATTATTTTATTAAACGGCGGAAAACACTTTTAAGTTGTAACCATTGGGTTTCCTAGTCACATGGATCATAGCATTTTCCTTGACATTTTCAGCTTCATGCCTGGCCTTTTAATCTAAGGAGCAGGCATCTGTAATGGCTCTGATTTCATTGCTGCCCCTTTTCTGCACCTTTCTTCGTTAGGTGTTTATTTTCGGACAATCTCTTGCTTCCCCATTTTGATTTTCCAGTAATTTATTCTTATTTTTGTTGCTAATTGACTTATTTATTGGTTTCTGATTCTGATTTTGTTATAAATCTAGTAAGAAATGATGCAGAAGGAACTAAGGAAGGAATTTGACAATTTTTTTTTTGCAGCTGAAATCAAAATTGGATTTTTTTTTTTGAAGCTAAATGTGATGTGATATAGTGTTTTTCCACTTAAGATTAAAACACGTTTCCCCCCCCCCCCCCTTCCTTTTTATTCAAGGAAATGGTGTTTGGTTTTACAGAATGATCGGAATGCATTTGGTTTTTGCAGATCCGGTTTATATTGCTCCAGAACAGGCAAGGGAAGACGCGTCTTGCAAAATACTATGTTCCGCTTGAGGAACTGAGAAGCACAAAGTTGAATACGAGGTATAAATTCCTATATTTTTCTTTCTTTTCTTCTATGAATTTTATTCAGATTTCAGGACCTTTAAATCTCATTCACTTGAGTTCTGCAGGTTCACCGATTGGTCGTAAATAGGGACCCGAAATTCACAAATTTTGTTGAGGTCAGTAGCTCTTTGAGTTTTTACCCCCATTTTCTTATTTGTGAATGGAGATTAATCATGTGTTTCATGCATTTGCCTTGTTGTTTTCTACCTTTGTTGAATTGTTTATCTTATTATTGGATTTCTACAGTTTTTGGGATTCTAAGACAATTTTCATGTATATAGTTATGTTACTTTTGTTTAAGAAACTTAGGCAATTAGGGGAAGTTATTCCCGATGGAGTTAGATCACAAGTTCACTTTCCTAGATAAATTAGCTAATTTGGAAGGAATGGTATTAGTTGTGACTCAATTGTAATAGAAATAGACAGAGAAAGCTAAGAGGTCTAAGCTCATTAGCTATTTTTAGAGACTTTATGGAGTCTAGAGCTTATGGTTTCCCTATCAGTTAGATCAATTTCCTTTATGGGTTGAGGCAAAAAAGATCTTATTGAGAATAAAAATTGAAAACTTTGAATAAGAACCATTAGCTTTTATGCTTAGTTAGAATTTTGCAACATGGATATAGAAGCTTGAAGTTTTATTCATATAAATGATCATGCTTCAAAGATTTTTGGTTACTCTTATAAACATTACAACATTATGGAGTCTAGAGCTTATGTTTTCTCTAGCACTTAGATCAATTTAATTTTTGGGTTGACACAAAAAAGATGTTTTTGAATCTGAAGAGATAAAACTTCAAAACCTTGGATAAGAATAGTCAAATTTTATTCTTGAGTAGAATTTACCTCTAGGATTCTAGAATCTCGAAGTCTTATTCATAGAAGTGATCACGCTTCAAAGATTTAAGTTATTCTTAAATCAAGTAGCTTCAATAATAACAAGAGTTCATTACATACTAGGGTTCTTCTGTGCCATTGGCAAAGTCGATATCTTTTCTCTCTCACAACCTCCCATGTTTGGGTTACCATATTGGTAGCAATGTTGCAAACTTTCTCATCTATTTGTTGCGACTTTTTGATATTTGGCATGGGTTCCAGTTTTGGACAACTCCAAGCATTCCGTGATCTAAAGCTTTTTTAATGCAAAAATTTATGGAGCATACCAGGAATCTTCTTTTGACTGGTAGATTAAACAAATTATAAACTTGATTATTATATGTTAATCTTGTTTGTGCGTCACATTTTGGCACTGAGATCAGCCCATAGTTGATGGCATTAGGATAAAAGGTTGGAGATTGTGAAAGGCTACAAAATCCATATGGTTGGGATCATCTTTGGTTAATGCACATGTTAGGCATTTATCATCATCATCATCATCTGAGCATATGTTAGGCATTGAGGTCCCCAAATGTTAGGACCTTGATCCCACCTTTTGAAGATTTTGATCCAACTTTTTGGATCTTGATCCCAAACTTTTGGGGATCTTGATCCGGACCTTAATGTATATATAATCTAAAACTATATATACTCTTTAAAGTAGGTATCTCTTTATTTATAGCCAAGAAACAATGCAATCGTATGAAAAATATAACTACATTTGGTAGCTGGCTATAAACAAAGAAAATCCTTAGCTTGATCTTTATCTTGGTCTTTAAAGTGGGGATTTAGATCCCCAGTAGTGGGATCGATATCCCGAATAATTAGGATTGGGATCCTAAAATTTGAAAGTTCAAAATTCCTTGAAGATCCCTTTCCCAGAGTGCTGTAGGGAGATTCCAGAGCGGGATCGCCAAGTTGGGAGATCCATTCAGCTATGGATCAACCTATTATGAGCATTTGCATGGTGAAGGGTGTAGCATCGCCTAGCGTTAAAGTAAGCAAGATATTTGTCCATAAAAATTAGCAGCAGGATTGAAATGTCTTAATTGCTGGAGTGGAACTCAGCACAACTAAGAAATGGTCCTTATTAACAGCCTAAACTGGAGTTGGGCTGCCACTGGGGATGGAACCCATGTCCCATTAGAACTATTTGAAATAAGTTATGGGCATTAACTGGAATTGGAACCTAGTATTGTAAGACTTGATTCTTGCTTCAATTTTGGATTGATTGAGACCTTTAGAGCTGATTAGAGAAGTTGTCCACTTATTTACAGAAACTTCGAATACACTTGAGGTACCTTTTGCATGGTTTCATTCATTTCACAAAAACAAATCCTTCCTTCTAAATTTCTGAAAACTTTGCAATGTGATGTGATAATGCTAGAGAACAAAATATTTGTATGGCTACCTAGTTCAATAATAATAAAGTTTCTTTTTTTTAACATCTAACCTAAAATGATAAAGACCAGAATTCAAATGTTGTAATAAGTGGTATTCTCTTTATCATCAATGCTAACTCCCTTTTCTTTTCATATGCTATGTTATGACGTTCTTATTGCGACTTGATGTATGTCAATGAGATAAAGAATTAAAGAAACAAATGGATCTGGCTGATAGATAACATATAGTAGTCAAGTCACAACGTAAAACTAACAATACAACATGATAGTGTGCAGACAAAATTCTTTTTGTGCCTCAATAACCTAGTTTGGTACAATTCAATTTTGAGCTTTATCATCCAACTTTCTTGAGTTTTAGCATCCAATCTAAAAGAATAATGACCAGAATTCAATACCAGAAGTATCTAATGTAAAAAAAAAAGGAAGGGTCGTAAGCCGATGCTGGTTTTGTTTCAGTGTTGTGTTTGTTTGTTGTTTTTTACCCCTTTCCAGTTCCTTTCTTCAGTAACTACTCAGGATCATATTGGGCCTCAAATTTTTGGCATTGATGTAATATCTGCCCACCTTAGTTCTTTTGCCTCGAGAATGACCTGTTTGGTTCACTCTCTAAGGGTCTTTTTGTTAAGCTAAAATTGTTTGTGCTTAGAATGGGAAAATCCATACTTTCTATGAAAAGAAAGGAAGTAGTAAGTTGAATCCATTGAGAATCCATACTCGGTATGAAAAGAAAGGGAGTTGTAAGTTGAATCCCTTGAGCACCTTTGATGTAGAAACATCTGTAGCTCTAATTTTTAAGTAGGACTTTAGAAGAAAGATTTGTCTTGATTCCTATGAAGCAATTATGAGTATGGGGCGGAAGACACTTGGTCAAATTACTCCCCCAATCCCACCTTATCTAAATTGGATAGGTTCCTCACTTCTCTAGATTGGGACAATCTCTTCCCTGGGACTCACTCCTCCGTTCTTCCCAGTCTTACTTCAGACCACCGTCCTATCTTACTCGATACTTAGGCAGTCAAGCGGCATCCCAAACCTTCAAAAAAATCCTAGGCCTCATTATCAAAACTTGACTAAGAGAAGATATATGATCACATAGATTGGAAGGTTCTTGATGAGACTCTCCCTAGAATGGGCTTCAGGGCTAAATGTAGAAAATGGATTTAAGGATGCATCTCCAATCCATTTTTGTCTGTACTCATTAATGGCTCCTCCCCCAAGGGATACTTCTGGCTTCTAGTGGCATGCGATAGGGTGATCCTTTGTCACCCTTCCTCTTTGCAATAGTGGCTGAGGTGTTTAACGCCTCCATTTTGAGAATGTACCGAGCATGCTTTCTTACTGGCTTCAACACTGGAAGGTCGAGTACATCCATCTCCCACCTTCAATACGCATACGATACTCTCCTCTTTTGCAATGCATCCCAGTGACAAGTTGACTGCCTACTACTCTTCCTCCAATGGTTTGAGTTTGCGATCTGCTTCAGAGTTAATATGGTGAAATCTAAATTGATGGGTATTGCCTGGACAATCGTTTGGTTCAGAGCATAGCTGACCGAAGGGTTTACGCAATAGATGGCCTCCCTGTTTGAGCTCATATGTCCCCATATCTTTTCGGACTATTTCCAACCACGTCCTTTTGGGCCAACCCCATTTCCTCTTCAATCTTTCCACTTGAATTAGCTCAATCCTCCAAACAGGTGTTGTACTTGGTCGACGCCACACATGGCCAGTCCACTTATGTTTACTCTCTCTCATCATATTGCCTATTGTGCCACACCTAAATTCTCTCGAATAGATTCATTTTGAGTTTTATCCCTTCTTGTCTTGCCACTCATCCATCTCGACATCCTCATCTCCGCTACATTCATTTTTTGGGTATATTGTTTTTTGTCTGCCCAACATTTTGCCCCATAGAGCAAAGCTAGTCTCACAACTATCTTATAGAACTTGCCCTTCAGTTTCATTGGTACGCAGCGATCTTATAAAATCCCATTTGCACATCTCTACTTCACCCACCCAGCTCTAATTATGTGTGCGACATCTTCCTCAATCTTATCGACCCAAGATATCGAAAGTGCGGTCTGTTTTGTACTTCATGGCCGTCAATCTTAACTGCTTCCTCGTCTCTACTCCTATTATTATTAAACTTTCATTCCATATACTCCATCTTAGTCCGGCTAATTTTATATCCTTTGAATTCTAAGGCATCCCTCCAAAGTTCTAACTTTGTGTTGACGTCGTTTCAGGCCTCATTGATCAAAGCTATGTCATCTGCGAACAACATGCACCACGGTACCTCATCCTGTAGGTGTTTAATTAAGACGTCCATAATTAAGACAAAGAGGTACGGGCTCAAATATTGAAGCCCAATAATTGATAAATTTGAAAGGAGGCTAGCTGCATGGAAAGGGAGATTTTTATCCTCGGCCAGAACATTGATACTCATCAAGGCTACCCTCTTTAGTATTCCACTCTTCATAATATCTCTTTTTCACATGCTTGCCTCTATCCTAGCTAGGTTAGAAAAACTTATGAGGGACTTTTTGTGGTCAAGTGACGGTGGCCATAAATTCTCCTATCTCTTGGGCTAAGTTGTGCTTACTTAAATCCAGTGTATCAAAAAGGGCTAGGTAGGTCCTAGGCGACCTGGGGGGTTCAGGTCGCTCAGCGCCTTGGCGGCCAGTTAAAAAAAATACCAAATTACCAAATACCATATTCCAAGTTGAAAAAAAGAAAGATAGACATGGAGAAGAGAATTTTGATAAACCATATTGTTAAAACAATAAATTGTAAAACCATACAAGTGTGGGATATAAAATTCAACACTCAACACAATAGACA